GGCGCGCCAGCCGGCTTGTTGTAGTGTCCGACGCTACCGGCAAGGAGAACGCCGTTCGCGGTCAAGTTCTGGACGACCTTTTGGTACTCGGCGTTGTTGTTCTCGATCGCTTCGCGGGGAATCAGACGTCCACCGAACTGGTACCGCGTCACCTCGAGGTTGCCCTGGGGGAGAGGGCCCATGTAGCGGTCATAGTGGTCGCGGTAGGACAGCTCGCTGTAGGCGACGGCTAGGGTGATGCCAAGTTCTTCCTGGAGGGCCTTGGTGAAGGGAGCAAGGATGACGTCGCGAACATGGGCGGCAGTCGAGTTCCAGACAGTCAAGGGGCGAAGAACGAGGAACTGGGCGTTGTGGAGGAAGACAGCGAAAGCGCCCTGGTCTGTCATGGCGGGTAGCAGCTCGTGGAACTTGGAGACGGCGGCGTTGAACTTCTCGGGCGTGGTTGTCGCGGCGAGGAGCTGGAAGGCGGCGCCCCCGACGGTTTGGGCTGGGTAGGCACGGACGGTGAGGCCGGTGACGACGCCGAAAGTGCCGCCGCCGCCACCGCTGAGAGCCCAGTACAGGTCGGTGTTCTGTGTCGCAGAGGCGACGACAGTCTTGCCGTCGGCGGTCACTACTTGGAAGGCGAGGGTCTGATCGGCTCCGAGACCGAACTGAGTTGACAGGGCAGAGTGACCACCTCCCTGAGTGAAACCGCCAGCAAGGCCGACTGTGGCGCATTCACCAGATACGACAGCAAGCCCCTTTGCATGGGCGGCCTCGAGGATCTCGTAACCGAGGACACCGGCACCGACATTGACGGCCGGGCCAGAGTAGTACTTGTCAGACCATGTTGAAAAGTCAATGGTCTTCAAGTGGTTGGTCCAGACCGCAAGAGCACCGGCACCGGTAGAACGTCCAAGGAAACTAGAGACATAAGGTTGTTAGCTACTGTGGAAGGGTACATGTAGTTGACGTCAAGCCACTCACTCGTGACCAGTGTTACGGACAACAACTCGGAGGTTATTGGCCTTGGCGAATTTGAGAGCATAGCTAACGTCTGCGGTGCAGCGGACATCGACAGCATAGCTAACATAGTTGCCGAGGGTGCAGGGAACAGCTCTATCAGTAAAAGGGTCGCAGGACTGGTTGGCAAAGTAGGATTGCATAACAGAAGACGAGGAGGGAATGCTAAAACAGTCATGTCAGTCACTGAGGGGTTAAGCCGAGGAAGGAACGGTACTCACTGTGTCAAGGGGTTGGTCCAGGATGACTGCAGAGCAGCACAAGCCGCGGCATCGTATGTAGGATCATGGCAGGGCGATCCAATAGGCTTGGTGGCGACCAAACGCCCACCAACGGTTGCGTTGAGCAGGTTCCAGGTGGAGACTGAGGGCCAACAAGAGTCACCAGGCAGGCAATGACATTGCTGCTTGGGGGTTGCTGCAGCTGTTGTGATGGTAGCCAAGGCGGTGGCTACGGCCAGATAAGAGAGCCTCATGTTGATGACTTGAGTTGGACAAGCAGTCAAAAGGCCTAGAGATGGCAGAGGAGGAGGAGGAGGGAGAGAGAGTGAGGGGTGGGTGACAGATTAGGTGCAAGCCACGAAAAGTGTGACTGGTTCTGGAACTCATATATCCCTCGCATCCATCATGCGAGATGCCAACATCTCTACCCCTGGAAGCACGAGGGCCTCGGCTTTTCGAGTTGGATGTAAACTCCGCCTCCTTTCGAACTCGATGCGGATTGTATTGGCAGCATTGCAACTGTGTTAACCAAAGTCGTATGTGGCAACTGCGTTGGAACTGTGTTGGTAATCTCCAGATCGATAGACTCACGGCTGCAATGCCCCAAACCGGTCCGACTGACAGTCTGGAGTACGCGGACGGGAAGAAACCATGTCGGCCGAGACAGGGCTTTTTCGGGGTCCCCTTCATAAGAATAATGGAACTTCCTATTAAGGCGTGTGACATCCGACGAGCACCCGCATTCTTTCTGCGCAACCGTGGGGCCGGAGTCGACCGGGGTGAGGACAGAGAACGGATGAGACACCAGACGGCCCCGACTATGACAAGCCCAGTGTCAATCTGTTCGTGGGGGCTGACTAGTTCTTGGTCTCCCCCAGCTTGGAGCCCACAGATCTAAATGAAGTCCCAATGATTAAGGTTGAATTAAAGAGAGACTAAAACGACAACACGAACTTCTCCTGCATTCTAGCTCCAAGACGGCGGCTTCAAACGCTTCTCATCGCAATTACCATAGAAGCCACCGCAACAGGTGTGGAAAAAACGCCACCGCTACCGAATCACAATGCCGAGTCAAAGAATGCGCCACTGAAGGAATATTCTCCAGCGATTCCTTCACCCGCGATCTAGTACGGGACTAATTTCCGAGACCCAGACGTCAGCCGCTGCTGTGCCGCCGGTGATTTCGATGCATTGCTGCACCTTTTTTTCCTGCAGGGGCTGCTTGGCCGGGGGCGCGAACGACGGGGTTGGTTCCCGTTTGGGGGAGCCAAGAACCTTCCAACCAGAAAAACAGACGGCTAGCTCGGAAAAGTTCCAGCTAAAGAGGGGGGCAGTATCAGCTTTCCCTAACGTACCCTAGTCTCGAAGGAGGACTTCGTAGACAAGAGCTCCGAAGTAGCTGCATCGCTTCGTGTCGCAGAAAGTGTTGGACCAAAGGAACAGCGTATCATCGTCCCCTCGAAGCGAAGAAAGAGTAGGGTAAAGTGGTAGACTAAGGGACTAGTGGTCAGTTATGGCGCGCCCTTGGGAATTCCTCGCCAATTTTTGGCGACTTGGCGATGAACCAAACCTGGGAGGTGGCCGGTCTGCCACATGGAGGACCAGGAATGTAATCTATGCACGAAGGCCGTCCGATTTCATTTATGAAGAGAAGATCTTCCGGATCTCTGGGAATCCTCCAAGACGGAACCGCTGCTGCCCTTGCCCGCCCGTGAACAACAATGGCATCCTTCTTCCGCCTCGTGTTGGCGTTGCTCCTTGGCATCTTCGTTGCCGTACAGGCGCAGGAGACGGCGATTTCTGCTACCAAGCTCACTTACCCGGCATGCGCTGTAAGTCCACTCCTCTCTCTCTCTTGGAGCATTTTGACATTTCGGACGCCGTTGTGAAAACCGTTGGAGAAACGTGGGCTAACGTCTGGGCTCTTTTCCCACAGACAAAATGCATAGCTAGCGCTTTTGGTGGCGGCTACTGTGCTCCCACAAACCAGACTTGTATTTGCACGAACCAGCACTTCCAACTAAACGTCACATTGTGTGTCTCAGCAAGTTGCACGATACCAGAAGCTCTCGGTATGTCTCTGATTCTCTCTGCCCTCTGTCGATGAATATCATGACGGCTTACTCGGATTTCACTGCAGCCACGAAAAATGCGAGCTTGACAAACTGTGGCGCTCCCGTGCGCAACCGATCCGGCGAATATGTCGTCCTCTCCAACGTCATGGCCATTCTGGCAGCGGTCTGCGTTCTCAGTCGATTCGGATACAAGATCTTTCTCGCGGGACTCGACGTCGGCTGGGATGACTGGTTCGTCATGGCGACGTTGATCGCAGCCATGCCGAGCGCCGTCATCACGGTCCATGGAACTACCGCGAATGGCCTGGGAAGAGACATTTGGACGCTGACGCCTCAGCAAATCACCAATGTCCTATTTTACTTCTACATCATGGCCTGGCTGTACTTCTTGCAGGTGACGCTGGTGAAGCTGGCCATTATCTTCTTCTACATGCGCATATTTCCCGCGCGAGAGGTCCAGCGCGTTCTCTGGGGGACGACGATCTTCATTATTGTTTGGGGATTCGCGTTCGTCATCACTGCAGTGTTCCAGTGCAAGCCGATTCATTACTTCTGGGTCAAGTGGGATCGCATGCACGAGGGCAGCTGTGCGAACGCCAACGCCATCAGCTGGTCCAATGCCGCAATAAGCATCGCGCTGGATCTATGGATGCTCGCAATCCCTCTTTGGCAGCTGAGAGCTTTGCGACTGCACTGGAAGAAGAAGGTTGGAGTCGCATTGATGTTCATCGTGGGCACCTTGTAAGTTTCTTGACTCGCGCGCACTACCAAGACCTGGGTTACTGGGTCTCGAGTTGTTTCTTCAGTGCGGGAAAAAACAAAAAACTAACGTCGCATCAGTGTCACCGTCGTGAGCATCATCCGATTGCAATCCCTTGTCGACTTTGCAAAGGGATCCAACGCTACCATGGACTTTATCGACGTTAGCGTGTGGAGCACGATTGAGATCTGCGTAGGCATCATGTGTGCGTGCTTGCCGTCCATCCGCATGATCTTGGTCAAGATCTTCCCGGCCATGTCCGGCTCGACGCTTCGTAGCAAGGGACGGCAGTATTATCAGCAGTACGGGAGCGACGTCAGGTCCAAGAATGCCGCTCAGCGCAGCCAAGCTCGGACTGTTGGTGTTGTCACCGTGGACCGGTCCAACTCTGTTCACGATGCGCACGATCGGCAGATCAAGTTCCAGAAGACTTTTACGGTATCGTACAGTGATAGCGACGAGGCGGATCTCGTGCCGATGAATAATCTCCAGAAGCCGGGAAGAGTTCATCGCTAGTGGATCTCAGAATCCGCTACTTGAGCGGGTGTTTGTGAGAGGGAATCTATAGAAATTTTGAAATAATCCGTGTTCTAAAAATCATACTATGATCAAAGTGATCGAACTGCAGTGCCGATCGCGATTTTGGGGAGCGCTAATGACTCGACATTGGACGAGGCCAGGGTCACCTACTGGCAGGGCTGCAAGGGACTCATGAGACTCTGAGCGTACTGGTGGGGATTGCTGATCCCGCCTGAAGTATCTACCTATTAACTGCCGAAACCACCGAGTCTCTGTCGGATTCATAGAGCAATTCCGTTTATTCCACATCTCCGGTATTCATCTCAACTGGCTTCCACTTATTACTCAACCATAGACATCATCTCGAAGATCAGCATTTCGAATGCAGCTGCTTTGAGTGTCGGATCTCAGCCTTCACGATTACTCTCGGACCTTATCCTCCGCATCTACAAACTCATCGTCGGATGATGCCTCACCATCACTCGGATCAACAAATACAGGACTCGTTGTAGATCTCTTCCCATAGATCCACTCGTCTTCAGATGCAATTACCGTCGATTCATCGTCGGCTTGTTGTGCCGTCAAATCTTGGGGTGGAAAATTCCGTCCACGTGCAGAGTTCATTAACGAGACCCATGCAAGTTTCTCTGATTCAAAGGGCTTGCGGGCAATAGCGCAGTGGTCGTTACGACATCTGATGAAGCACTCGTTGGGAGTATGCCCATCTTTGTCTTTGATCGCGGTGTCAACGCCACCGAGATCTGCCGACGCTAGGATGTCCATTGCCTGTGTGCTCCCATGTAAAGCTGTCAGGTGGAGCAGGCTCCTCTTATTGTTGTTCAAGAGGCTCAGTTTCTCGGGCTGCGCCAAATATGTATTAGGCACCTGACACTGCAATCCCGGGCAAAAGAGACAACTCCTTAAAAATTGCGATTATCTCGGGATCCCCAAGAGATGACTTGAATTATCCCTGATAACACCGCTTACGGATTACCTTATCTCAGATAGAAATGCGGAAGACTCACCGGGAAGCCTTGAAGGTAAGGAGCAATGATCTTCAAGACCTCAAGACTGTTGTTTGCGATGGCTTGCCCGAGCGGCGTGTCACCTGTATGATTTCTGGTAAGCAAGAAGTGGCCGTATTCCCTCAGCAGAATCTCCACGAGGTCTTCCTGATCGGACACGCAAGCATGATGCATGATATTCGCCGCTTCATCATCGCTAATCTGCACATCAGCTCCCTTGCGCAACAAATATTCCAGTATCTCTGGACTACTCATGTGCATCATGGGTGTTCGCAAATGCTTATCAAGGGCGTTAACGTCGATGCCTGCGTCGACCAGTGCCATGATGCTATCAAAATCGTCCGCCCAGCATGCGCAGTGCAGCGCCGTGAATCCACACAGGTCTCTGATTTGGACATCGGCGCTCCATGGGTCCTGGGTAATGAGGCGAATAGCATCCGATTTCCCGTTCTCGGCAAGCCAGTGGAGCGGAGTCCTGCCTAGAACATCCTTTGTGTTGATATCGGAGTATTCAGATTCTCGCAGAAGAGATTCGGTTATTTCCTGGCCACCTCGCGCTCCCAAAGCAGCTACCTTATGGAGATTGGTCCACCCTAGCCGATCGGCAAGATCGTCTGTATCCACTGGTAGGTTGTATTCCTGGCTTCCTCTGCGAGTAAGAACTGTAATGGCTGCAGACTTTTGGTTTTCATCTGCGAGGTTCTCGTCCATTCCTTCGTTTTTGAGGAAGTTGAAGACGGCTGGCTGATGAATCTTGGCAGCGACCTGGCATTCAACATAATATTTAGCACCACCACACAAGTCCGAATAGAGTACGTGAATTCTTACGTGCATGATAGACTGTCCCCATTGATTCCTGACATGCATCAAGTTTCTGTCTTTCGACAACAACTCTCGCAGCTGCCCGAGATTTCCCGCCATGACTAGCGGCCAAAGAATGTGGTCTTCTTCCGGAATAACCAACGGCACATTGAGCGACACCTTTGCCCCAGCATCGAAGACGTTCTCCAGGTTAACGGAAGCCATTATCGCCCTTGACACCAGCCAGGGTGGGAAGTAGCAGGTGATATTGTGTTTACTCAGGCTCTTCCTACATGGTGTATAGTTGCAAGATCGCATCGATATTGACGAGTCAAAGCTCCAGTGAAGCTGGCCCACAACATTTCTCAGCCACGGGGGTGTACGGACCGCCGCCCGGGTGTGGCATCGGCACCGGCATCCTCGCGGACATCGATGCGAGTTCATACTCGCAGAGATGAGAACGGCTGGGCTGTTGACCGATACGTCACTGTTTGCCATTTGTATCTCGGGCTCGCTTGTCGGTTGTTGTCTTAGACTCAGGCTTTGGGCCTGAGCAATCAGCGGCTGCATGGAAGAGAGAAGATTGCTCTGCACCGCGTCAAAACTCTGTAATCCGGTCTGAATGTCTTTTCGGACTTGTTGCTGCTGTTCTTGCAGGGCACAGATGGCATTATGGCTTGCGACTGTTACATTTTGGATTTGAAGGACTGTTGTTTTTAAGACCTCCCTATTGGAAAGTCAGCATGCTATTCTTTCCTTCGAAAATCCCAAGACTACTGGCTCACTTACCGGTCGTCTAGATGGAGCAAATCAAGTTGGGTCCGCAATATTTCGCATGAATCTCGAATGTTCTCCTTGATGCGCTGGACATCGGCTTCTGATTGCAGCATTCTCGCTCGCTTGACTTTGGTCACAATGTTTCCATCCTCGTTTTTCCGACGCGAAAGCCGGGTGCTAATGCATTCAGAAACACCATTAGTTCTTGTTGAATAGCCACGTGACTACTTGTGACAACCCACTGAATTAGCAATTCAAACTCTGCCACGCGCTCTTTGATGGCCCCGAGGACATGAACGATGGATGGTGGTATCGGATCTTCATAACCATCTCCATGCCGGCTGCGGAGACACGCTTCTGTATCTAGAAGTAACCCTAAGGTACATATATGTCTTGGTTAGCGCCTCTGAAATGATTCAAACCGTGCGGCAGGGTAAGCGTAACTCACCTCGTAATACCTCGGCATCGGTAATGAGCTGCTTGAATGTTTCTGATGCTTCCCGCCATGACTTGATCGTGCCCAAGGCCAGCCCGGAGCCTTTGCCTGTGAGTTGAAGTATCGTGAGGATGCTGGTTGTGATCGACAAGGGGTCCATGTTGGCACGATGTTGTCTGCATCGCTCTGTTGAAGATTGCGAAAAGAATTGCCTTGGACCTCAGGAAGGAAACCTTTGGACTTCTATGAAGCTCATACTGCTAGTTATATCCTGCATTGAATATATTTGAGTCAGCTCCAAGAGATGAAAAGTCGTTTAGCCCTCTTTTCTTGTACTACACCAGAGGCAGGCTGTGATGTGAAGGGTGGTCAGATCTATCAATGTGGCAACACCGGCAGTCGTTCTCGACCCTGCAGCCGGAGCAGCAGGCCAAACACAAGGTCCGTTACAGAACGTGGTAAAGTCCGCTCCAAACTGTTGAGTTACACAGAGTTCCAACAAAGCGACCTGGAGTGGGATCCTCCAACCTGACCTCCCCAGTGTGGCTACCCGAAGAGAAAGGTCCTAACCGAGAACAGTGTGGTCAAGACATGTTATCCTGCCTCAGTGGTGTGCGAGAAGGCCCTTGGAGTGGCTGATTCAAACCAGGGCGTATAGTCGTTGGCGAGAATTCCTTCGCAACAGAACCCGCTCATAGTGATTATTCATCGACCTTCGGTGTGTCGAACTTACGGATGCGATTGGCCATCATGCCTCAGGACTTGCTGTCACCGAGGGACAAATTTCATTGACTGGTGGTTGTGAGGCGGCTCTGCCAACTTTTTGCCGATTTTGAATATTGAAGTCGTCGAAAGCGGAATTAGCAGAAGAACAACGAGCTCTAGCATGATCCTCTTGCCTCGTGGCTTTTGCAAGGAAGAACAGCGCCCAAGAGGTGTATTGTCACTCACGATCGCTTATTGGAGCAAACTGATTTCCCTTCCTCCAACCACCCAAAGATGTTGCTTGGCGCCACGCCGCCCATCGAATTTCAATCCACTCGAGCCGATGGAAGACTAGGCAAGCTGGTAAAGTGTTAATACAATGCCCGGAGCTTTTGTTCAGGGTGGTGGTGGTTACACAATGGCCATCTACGTCTCATTGATTGGTGTTCTGAAAGATAAAGTAGCAACCAGCCTGCCTGAATTCACCAATTTGAATTCGAGGGCGGGAAATTGCGCATGTTGGGTCACATGATATCGGAATCAGGCAACCACCTCACCGTGATGACACTCGCTTGCCCCGCATTCTTTTTGTTCCTTTTGCACCTTTATCCCGAGTTCAAACGGCGAGGCGTTCGACGGAAGCTTGACGTCATCTGACCATTTCAGAAATGAAGCAACTCAGCACCGTGATAACAGATTTATCTGTCACTTTCTGCGCCTCACCTGGCGCCCCAGCCGCCTGTCCTCTGGAACAGCAGACATGGAATCGACTCGAGAAAGATCTTTACCTTCACGCAGGTGAGAAGACAGCATGGATATACCTTGAAGAAAGGGACGAGGCCGATGTGGCCAATGACAATCGCGTCATCACGGATATTTGGGTTGGCGCGACAAAGCCTCCCACAGTTGCAGAGCACAGCTGGGAGCAACGACCTTGCGGCATTTGGATCCTGAGAAGCCACTACACTGAGCACGAATTGAGGTTGTTGACAGGTATTGACGTTCTTTTCGGAACGGATGCTGTCGACCCACGGCCGGGCTGGACACTGCTACCCGAATCCCTCCAGCTTAAGGACCAACCGGACGTACCCGCACCAAGACTTTCGGTGCGATTTGGTCGACCAAGACCTAGACCTGACGATCCCAATACGCCGTTATGTGTCAACGAAGACGGGAAATTCAAGATTGTACAGATTTCCGACACGCACATGGTCACTGGTCCTGGAGTCTGCAACGATGCCATAGACGCAAATGGTCGGCCTTTACCTAGCATTGAAGCTGATCCGAACACGATCAAATTCATCGGGGAAATTCTGGACGTCGAGAAACCCGACTTGGTGATTCTCAGCGGAGATCAAGTACATCACGACATCCCAGACACTCAGTCACCTCTATTCAAGGTCGTGTCACCTTTGATCAGTCGATCGATTCCTTTCGCGGTTGTCTTTGGGAATCATGATGACGAGGGCACCTACGCGTTATCGCGTAAGTCTCGATGAACCATTTCTGATCAATTCTTTGTACTAATAGTTGTTTGCGCAGGCGAAAGGCAGATGGCAATACTGCAAGATCTCCCATTTTGTTTAGCACAGGCTGGCCCCGACTCAGTAGACGGGGTAGGCAACTACTATCTCCAACTCTTCTCCAGCGACGAGATGCAGATCCCATTAGCAACACTCTTCTTTTTCGACTCGCATGGGCAAATCACGAGTGCTGGCAACAATCCCGACTACGACCCAATTCAGCAGAGCCAAATCGACTGGTTCACCTCCACTTCACAGCATTTGAAGAATATCCGTATTACAGAGATAGACAGTGGTTCTCCTTTCCTATCTTTGGCTTTCATGCATATACCCTTTCCCGAATACGCAGGAGACGATTTGTCGATAAGTGGTGGCAAGCGTAGGGAGCCAACCGAAGGCCCCAGCATCAACACGCATCTTTACGATGCCCTGGTGCAAGAAGAAGTGTCTGCGGTGGGCTGTGGGCACGACCATGTCAACGACTTCTGCGCTCTGTTGCCGAACTCACAGCGAGAGCAGTTGGTAGTAGGCGACAACCAATCGGTCAAGCATGGCCCGTGGCTCTGTTACAATGGAGGCAGCGGGTTCGGGGGCTACTGTTCCTATGATGAAAATCGGTACTATAGAAGGACACGCGTCTGGGAGATTGACGCTAACAAGGGTGAATTGAAGACATGGAAGCGTATTGAGTACTCTGGTGACCGATTCGAGGAACTAGTACTTGTAGAAGGCGGCCAAGTCACAGATCCCTCAGCGTCGTTAGATACCGAGAAGACATGCATAATTCTCTGAAAACGAAGTCCCCCCCACGAACGTCTCGGAAGCAACAATACACAAGGTGGTGTCGGGAATCGGTCCATCTAAAGAGGACAGTGATTTATTGGATTGAGAGGGAGAAGGACCAAAGGCTTTGGGTACAATAAGCGTAGTCAAAGCCCGAGGCCAAACACCACACAATTCTGCAAACAAGAGAACAGCTGCAAAGACCAAGTACAAGAACAAGCACACAAAAGTCGAAGCCAATCAAGCTAAGTGGAACACTACAGCCTTGCATGACTATAAGCGTTCCAAACTCGCGATGTCGAATCGAAAAGCCATCAATGGTAAGAATCCCATCCTCTTCCCCAGCTGGCATCATCTGCTGGGACCTCTGCCACAGCCGATAAAGACTGAACCATTTCTCCATCATCAGTACGTGGGAATGACCTGTCGTTAGTCATAGCGAATTAGCACATTGTCATCCACGCGTCAAATCAAAGATCCTCGTCGTCCATCATGCAGAGGCCGTCGTCGTTCGAGTCCCAGGACTTGCGCTTGTGGAGCGAAGGCACCCATGTACTCTCACGGGACTTGAGGAGCTCCTCGAGGGTGGCGTTCACGTGGTCGGAATCATCAGGGCTGTTGCTCACCTTCGCTCCCTTGTAGGACTGACCCGACGCGGTCAGCAAGTCTGCGACGGACCTCTTGGT